AGCGTGTATGTGGGTGATGGTATGAATCTGGAATTCTTCCGCACTGAGGGATCGATGCCAACCCTTCTCCAGGCCAATATGGATCTTCTTCCTCGTGTCGTGGGCGTCCATCTTGCACAGATGGGATCGTCACTGCCTGCTGTTCTTTTTGGTGCGCCTCGCTGAGACCTGGACTTTGTTTAGGCAGCTGCTTGCAGAAGTGCCTCGAAGTCGGGTGCCCTTCCCCCTTAGGGCGCAGGCCGCCTCCCTGTAGTCGGTGCCGTGCGCGTCAGGGTGGCCACCGGGGGCTGCCCACCCTCTCTAGCCCAGGCCTGCTGAGCCTGTTTCTTTGTTCTTTTTGGCAATTTCATCCTCTTTTGGATCTAGCTTCTGATCCATGTTATGAGAATCAGAAATCCAGATCGGCAGTTGAATATCAGCTCAAAAGGATCCCCGTTGGATAAAACATGGGGATGGGGTTAAAATCTTAATATTCAAGTTCAGTTCCTGCTTGGAATTTGAGGTGTACAGTTTCCCGCACTCGTCCAAACATGGGCACCAATCCATTCTTTGTGCAGCCATGGCCAGCAAGCCTCTCTCTAGCCTCCATGCCGTCCCTTTGCCGGAGTAGCCGGGGCAAGTATATTTTGCCAATTTTGCTCCTGTGGCTAATGCAGACCTTCACAGAACTGGTCCTCAGACGTCGTTGCCCATCTCCGGTCACTTTGTTCCTGTTTCTTAACTTGCCAGCTAACCTGTCGGTAACCAGGTTTCTTACCTGGTCTAGACTCTTTCTCTGGTGTCCCCCTCACAGAGCTAGCAGCACCCAGATAAAAGGAGTCTGTCTTCACAGGAAAAGGTCTTCAAAGGAAAAAGTGACTTCACCTCTGAAAAGGTGCAGTCAAGATGTAGAACTCCAGAAGGCAGTTGAAGTTGAGAGGGAAAAATAGACACCCCAAGTCTATATAGACACGTCTAGAGTTTGGAAAGTCAGGTTTCTGGTGCTGCAGGGTAGGGTGGAAGCCCGTTCCTCTGGTAAAAGCGCTGGGATGTCAGGAAAGCACACAGCTTCTGGCGCCCGTTCTCCCAGATCGCATGGGTGAATGCGGGCAGGTCAGTGAGTTTCTCACCTTGGTTTTTTATGCAGATTTCAGGGAGGATGGGGAAAAGCTGGAGAGGGTAATCCCTGGGCATGTTGTGGGTCTGGAGACCCTGGCAGGGCAGGAGTGGGTGCTAGAGAGCCCAGCAGGCGGTGCTGAGGTGGCTCAGGCCGAGGGCCTCAGCTCCGTGCGCGGCCCCGCGATACCTGCTGCCTTTGTGTGGCCTGAGCAGGCTCTTGACGCTGACTTTTCCTTGTATGTTCTGACGTGTGTAGCTCCTCAGGCTGCTTGCTTCCAGTGCTCTCAGCATCCCTAAAGATGGGCTTCCTTTGCTTTAGCGAGCGAAGGGCACCTCTTCGTATTCGTTTCCTTTACTGCCACATCCGCCAGCACTATTCACTACGACAGTAGTGAGGAGAAGTCTGAGGCAAGAGCAGCCTAGCCGCATTTTGACATGTCTCTCTTGGTCATTTTCATTGTTAAATGAAAAAGTGTTTTCAGTTCAGAAGTGTATATTTTAAGAGGTTGAATGGCAGTCTCCCACTTAAAACCTGAGATGATGCCCCATTTTCAGCACGGTAAACTCCTTGGCACGAAATTGACAACTCTTCACAGTGTGGCCCAAGCCCTGCTTTCCAGTGTAATCTCTGTCAGTCTCTCCCACTCCTGGTTTCCCGGGCTCCTTCAGAGGTCCTTGCACATGCTAGGTACTCCCATGCCTCTGTAGTTCTGCTAACGTCGCCGTTCCCCCTCTCTCCTCTGCCTGTAAGGTACGCCTCCACCGCAGGTTTGGCAGCATTGCCTTGTTACCCCTCCGACCTCTCTCCTCCTCGAAAGGCACCTGCCCTCCCTGCTCCAGGCTCCCCAAATCCTACTCCGTTTATTCTCACTTAACTTTGAAATGTGTCTCATCTTCCCAACTGCTCAAAGTTTTAGGGCAATACGGACAGTTCTTAACGTTTCTTTTATACTTCTCATGGTGCTGGACATAGTACAAACATGTAGTTGTTCAATAAACGTTGAAGTAAAATATAGGAAAATAAAACATACCAACCACCCCTTTGGTGATGTGCCACTCTTAGATTCTAGACCTGCCACATTCATCTCTTGACCAAGCACTTTTCCACTGCCTTCACTGCCTTCAGGGACAAGTCAACGGGCTGATGCACATTCAACTCGTAGGCAAGAGACAAATGAAGCCAGTTTTCCAGGCATATACTAAGGAGAGCAAGATCTCCTGAACACTGTTTTCAGGATGACAATCTGTCTCACAGAGGTTAGACTACAATGTCATAAAAGAAAAACATGAGTGGCCTGAAGCTGTATCTATAGAGAATGCAGTCAAGACTTAGAATCTGTCTAGTAGTTAGTCTTTTAGATAAATGATATTATTTAAAGTTTAAAATGTAGTTTTTGAGAAGGTTGACAAAGGAGATAGTTCAGACTCACCTTTTTTGTTTCTGGATGTCTTTTAAGTGACAAACTATGTCTTAGAAGTCTTACTTCACCTACCTCCTTGAAAAAAATCTAGAGTTTTCTCTCCCGTGGTTTCCCTCAGGAACAAGAGATGAGAAGGATAATGGGTAATTGAAGAATTGAAAGCCCAGTGATTTTTAAACAATTAAGGAAGCTACTGATAGCATTTGAGGCCATTATTACCAACTATTCCCAGAACATATAAATTTTTACATAATACAGGTAGTAGTGTACATCAGAATATAAACATGTAGTGTTTGCCCTTACATTGAAATGAATGCTGTACTTTTCTTGACCGAAGAAAACCTTTAATCCCAAGCCACAAAATTCTAAAAAATCATTAACATTGTACTGGAGTAATCTTTACTCATGTTCTTTCCTGGCACTCCTCAATCTTTCAAGATAGGACGAAAAAAAAAAAATTGTCCTAGTTAGGGTAAGTTCAGTTTGCTGAGAAATACAAGTTTTTCCAAAGAAAAAATAAGCCATGAACTCAACCACTCATCAAGATCTGGGGATTATGAAGATTCCTGGCTCTTGGATTATTACTTGTTTCCCAGAAATATCAAAAGACATGAGTTTTCATTATCCTTAGCATAATTAAAACCTATTTGATTCAAAAACACTTCAAGAGGTAGTCATGCACATAATAATCAAATCTTAAGTCTCTTCTGTTCTGGGAAGACACTGGACAGGATTGCAGAAATAGTCCATAACAGGTTTTAATCCTGAAGTCAAGTTACAGTGGATAAAATTATCAAGAGGACTTCCAATTTTAAATTCCATCTCAGTTTTTTATCTTATTGGCATATGATTTCTAAAAATGTGGACATTGAAGTATAGCATATGTTTTCTTATCATTTTACCCATAAAACTCTCATACCTACTCTCCCTAATTCTCTGTCTCTTACAGTCACTCTGTTCTCCACAATGCAGGCCAAAGTTTGTCTCTAAAATGCAAATCTGATCATGTCACTTCCCTATTTAAATCCCTCAGAGGTCTTCCATTGCTCTTAGGATGAAGTCCAAATTCCTAATCTTGGTTTACAGAGCCTGCTGGATTGGCCACAGCTCATCTCCCCAGTTTTCTGTCTTTTGCCCCTATTAACCTTGCAGTCACCTCACATCTCTGCTTTCCAGCTATATTGAAAATCTCTTAATCGTCTAGGCTCTCGTCTCTTTGGCATTTTGCTCCCTTCCGGTCCTGCTCCTATCTCACTACATATTCCTTTAGACTTGACTTCATATATACGTGTTTGCACAAACACATTGAAGAATGAATGAATACGTTGGGCTGTCTGAAGAATGAAATTTAATTCTTAACTGTTGCACACTACAAATTCTGTAGTGATTTTATGGGCAAACATGCAACTGCCATATTTTTGGCTTGAGCTTTATCCCCACTTCACCAAGTCATTTTAAATGTTTGACATACTAGGAAATAAGTTCTGTTTTAGGTGGAAAGCAGCTCTAATATGTAGAGTGTCGTGGCCATCTCTGTATGCCTTTAATTGTACCCTAATGAGATTGGATGTGATCACTCCATCTGTCTGTTTGATTTGGCTTGGTCTCTACTATGCCAAACATTATACAGTAACAGTAGCAAGATATTTAATTCACTGAAGAGGTCATTAGTTTTCTCATTTGCTAAATTAACAGGAAGGTAGTCTAGGGGAATAATGAAATGCAACTCACCTGCCTGATTTTTAATAGATTTCACAGTTTCCACAAATCTTTAGAAGTATCATAGCACTTTCTGTAGGTCTATAGGAAAATAATTTTGCATCTGGACACATTATCCCTCAGCCTCTAAGCTATTGCTTTCAACTCTTGAAATTCAAGATCATATGTATTAAGAATTCTGAACTTTTCTGGTTCTTGGTTATTGCCGGAATATCTGGACAGTGGTCTGCATTCCTCAATTTTCAGTTGTTTTAATGCCAAGAAAACATACCCTTATATAACTTAACTTTAGTCCAGTAAGCTTTTCCTAAGCATTTACTGTATTTCAAGGCTTTGGTCCTTGGAAGAGCCCTTATTTATATTGACCTATAAAAGTGATCATTATGTGTGCCCAGTATATGGAGGAGCAAATGTTCAAACACTGGCATTGACTCTAGGACTCCCCTGGGTGACTGGGCTCTCTAAAGGGTGGGCTTCCCCAAGCCTCCTGGTGTTCTGTGTAATGCTGGCCCCCCTTCCTAGTGCTCATTCTTCAGAGGATGCATGCTTATGCCCGATAGCTGACATCATTTGTCCTCCACCGGTTTCATAGAAATACTGTCAGGATGCATCATGAAACTGAGGCTGAAAGGGGCTGATTAAATTGCCAAGTTCATATACCTCACTAAGGGCCGGGACCAGGATAGAAAGCAGGGACTTCAGTGTTATACATGCATTGTGCAGTTGTGTTCTGCTCTTCCTGAAGGAGAGAAACAAAATATATGGCTTCAGAGTGAAATTCCTTACCAAGGGCAGAAAAGAATTCAGTACTCAGTAGCCTAGGCTTAAGTCTGACATGGGCTAAAACTACAAAGAATTTATCCCAGTTTTGATAGTTGTTTCCACGTAAAAGCTTGCTTCCTGCTCATGTAACCCAAACCCTCTCAAGATTGATTTTTCATTTACCTTTGACTGTTCCAGTGCTCCCTGTAGATGGCCTTGCTCACACTTGGTTGCCTTTTGCAATTTCCTTGTAAGCTATGATTTTAAATAAACACGTATTTCAAAAAAAATACATCAAATAAAAAATTCTAGAAGTCAAAAACACTGTTTGGTGTGTAGAGCCAATAACATGGCCTTGATAAAGCTGCCAGGAGATGGTCCCTTAGTGGATACTTGGTGCCCTTGGAAGCATCTTTATTCTACCTCTGTCTTCTTCTCACTAGTCTTGGCCACCAGAGCTAGAGTCTGCCCAAGCAGGAGTACTTCCCTGAACCCTATGCCATTCCGGGCTACAGAGGGCTGCAGGCGGGGGTCAGAAAGTAGGGCAATCATAGGAAATACACTGTACTTTGAGCAAGAGTTGAGGTGGAGTGAATGTCTGGATAAGGAAAGGGAAGCCCTTGGGATTTAAGTATTTGAAAATAAAATTAACCTTTCACCTTCCGACAAAGTGTCAGTGGATTCCATTTTCTTGTGATAGAATGAAAAAACCCACGGGATCACCAAATGGCCCACCCACTCCCTTCAACTCATGCTTGCAAGGGAATTTCATGACATTCAGGTACGAGGCTCAGCCTCGTGAGAGGGGGGCAGGGGTAGAACCCGCCCCCTGCACAGACTTTTCTGACATGTGGGATCCTCTGTGATCATTTTCCCTCCCTGGTCCCTTTGAGAACTGGAGCCGCTGCGGGGAACCTGGGGAAAACTAGAGCCCCATCCCACCTTTTTCTGAAGTTCTCTTGTGTCATGGACCAGAGTCTCATTTTTCCTTTCCTGTTGAGAGAAAGAAGCAGCGCATAGGTGTGGAGCTCCCTGCTACCACCCGTCTTTATTCAGCTGATTGTTCTTCCTTTCACCGAGTGCTATTTGCCTGCAGTAACTCTACCTCACTGCATATTGTCAGGTAAAGGACCTGTGGTTTGATTTCCACATACGTATCTACACCAACTCACCAGGATAGACATGCCCACATGCAGGGCTTCCCAATATGAAATATTACCAAAGAAACTGTGCCCTCAACACATATTTTACCATGTCTTTTGACTATTCTTTGCATGTAAAAAAGAGGAGACTAGCTTATCTGATGACTGATGAGAGACAAGCTGAGGAATAACACCTATCAGATGGCTCTTCCCAGCTTTTTGCTTACAAGTCTGGCTATTTCTTCTTCCAGGTCTTGCAGCGTTCTTTCCCTTTCCATGGTGGTACTATTCTGCTGCTCCCTCTCCTCATCATCTGTCAGGTCCTGGGGCTGAGTGATCTCACTTTCCAGCCTGAATGACACAAGCACATAGTGTGAGGAACAGACCGCTTCAGAACTGAAAAAAACACATCTGTCAGTTTTAAGGATACTTCAGTGTCAGTAAATACGGCTCTCAAGATGGAAACCCATCTTTCCTGTGTCCTTATCGTCATAATCACTTCAAAGGCAGGACAAAAAATCACCTCAAAGTTCGACCTGATTCCCAAGTCAAACACCCTAGTGTTCTTTCAGCTCAGGTGAATATCATCCAATCTTTTAAGAATCTCTTTGAAACTTGCTGTAATTCAGGGTTTGAGCCACAGAAAATGCCAAAGAATGAAGAAGGAACTGCTACATAAGATAGAGGTGTCTAGAGCAAGTGGGAAAATTCAGGTTTGTCTCTTCTCCTCTATCCCATCCCTTGGATTGGGAACTTCCCTCAAGAAAACCCAGCACTCACCTCTGTATTTCTTCTTCTTTCTTGTGGATTTGGAGAAGAAGTTCCTGATTTGCCTCATCTGTGATTTGCAGGTCTCTTTCAAGGTCTGTGTTCAGACTTTCTAGGTTCCTATTTGACTGGGTCAGTCTTAAGATCTCCAACTCCTCTGACCTATAGATTCAGCCCACGAAAGGAACAAGGGCCAGTTATCTCAGGGTCAGGGATCTTTGGGCCTGATGGGGTATCTAGGAGACATGTAGTTCAACAACCTGGCTTTTTCTGGGAGCACACCTTTCCTTTTTCTTAGGTTGGTGTTGGTGGGTCTGTGAAAGACAACCTACTCTCTACGTCAAGCCCTGGGAGGCTTGTGGAGACCATACGCAGAAGGACCCTGTGCCCTATTACCCATGGCAATCCAGACAATTGGCAATACTCCAAAACATAGATGCATAAAGGGAGTGTCCAGAAATATGGAGCCTTAGATGGCCTCCAAAAACTTCCTTTATAGCTGCATATCTGAAACTGGTTGGTTGTTCCACATTTGGGGCATGGTGTATCAGTGGAACCAAAAGGGGGCCAGAAAAGGGACTGCGGAACATCCCTGCAACACCCTCTGCGTGGTCTGTTGTTCTCTTTGGGGAATGGTGTATCAATGGAACCAGAAGGGGGCCAGAAATGGGACTGTGGTACATCCCTGCAGCACCCTCTGTGTGGTCTGTTCTCCATTTGGGGAATGGTGTATCAGTGGAACCGAAAGGGGGCCAGAAATGGGACTGTGATACATCCCTGCAGCACCCACTGTATGGTCTGTTGTTCTCCACTTGACAAATGGTGTATCAGTGGAACCGGAAGGGGGCCAGAAATGGGACTGCAGAACATCCCTGCAGCACCCTCTGTGGGCCAACAGCTGTGGGTCCAATACAATAGTGGACAGCACAGTGGACAGCAGAGAGGTGACAGAGAGGACTGGTGGCCCTTCTGATCCTTTTGTAAAGTGCCTGGAACTTAGCCACGATCCTGAGCCAAAAGCATGAGAATCCCTGATTTGACTGGGATGATTTTCAAATAGCCCAATCAGACTGACAGCTACAAAGACTTAATTCTGACGTGTGTAGCCATTTAGACACACACATCCTAAATGTATAGAAAGTAGTGTCTAACCATTGAGCTTGGGTTATCACTGCTGAAGACGTCTCTTCAAGTGAAAGATTTGTAAGGCTGTAGAAAAGAAGTGAAGTTTGTTGAGGGTTGATTATTCTGAGAGCTCATCCCACACTGGTGTGGTTCTGCGAAGAGAGCGGAGAAGGGGGAGGAGCCACAGCAGTTCCCAAGCTGCAGAACCTCACAGGGCACCCACCATGGGTTGCACAGAAAGTCAAGTAAACGCTTCCAGATCTTGGAGCAGATTTCGGCATTCTGAGAGGAAGAGTGGGCTAGAAGGGGCCTGAGGTCTGGAAGAGAAAGTTACAGAGGAAAATGGTCAGGACTTTGGTCGTCAGCAGAGGCTGGAGACCCATGCCAGGATGGATCACAGCCTCAGAACCTGATGCCCAGGTGAGGGTAAAATTTCAGTATTTGCAGAATCTCTCACCTGGTCTTAACCATCTCCATATCAATAGGTGTTTACGTGGGGTGGAGAAAAGTAGTCTGTCTCCATATCAATAGGTGCTTACAAGGGACTGGGGAAGAGGGGAGCAGACATTGCAACAGAGAGTTAGTTTTTGTTTCTTCCCAGCCAGGATGGGGAGAGACACAAACAAGCGTGAGTAGACAAATGGAGCCAGGGTTCTTCTAAGCAATAAATGGCCTTCTCCCAATTTATTTTTCCCTCTGATTGGTTTCTGCTTTCCAGGTTTCCCTGGCTTATTTTCCCCGGGCTGGAGTACACATTCCCCCTCGTCACAGCAGGTCACTGAACCATGCTCAGCAGATCCTGCAGGGACAGGCAGCCATGCCCACTAGAGATAAAATACCCCTTTCCAATGCCAGAAACTACTTTAACCCCCTTCCCTCAGGACCTTGATACTACCTCCAAAAAGAAGGCAGGTGAAGGTGGAGAGAAAAAAATCCTGGGTAATAGTACATTTACCCCACAGTGATCCAGTTTGAACTTGACAGTGATTGAGAAGATAACATTTGAGGGCAGCTGAAAAAAAATCCCTGGATTAGACTGAACATGCCAACATGGGAACGAATGAGCTCTGTGTTCTCAAGAGTGAAGTTGAGTTCAGTATTCAAAATAGTGTCATGGTTGCTCACATTCAAATTCATGAGGTCTGATGTAGACGTGCAGGCCATGCCAAGGGAAGTAGAGGAGAAGTATTACTGGAAGAGTACTCTTGCAGGTGGGAGAGCAGCAGGCGATTGTAGTCAGGGGAGGATATGTGGTCATGCAAGCAAGGTTTATAGCAGGGAAACATTGCCCTTCACTAGAAAGCCACTTTATTCACAAAAGCAGCATTAAAAATAGTGCAGAGCATGTGATATTAGAGGTAGGCATCCAGAAAGGAGGCTGACTTTTACCAGCCCAGGAGGTAGGGGTAACTAGGTTGAGAAGAAGGGATAGATTTCAGAGAGGTTTAGGGCGTAAAAGCAAAAGAACTTCCTGTTTCATACTTGACTAAGTAGAGGGCAGAGGAAGGTGGAGGATGCAGGGTACCTTGTAGCCAGCAGCTACAGACAAGCGAATGCATGGGGATGACATTCAGTCGTTTGAGCAGAAAAGGCAGGGGCTGAGGGGGCTGCTTTCTGGGTGGTGAGAGGAAGCGAGATGCTGCATGGGAAGCACCTGTGGAAGTGCAGTTGGATGGTTCTGTGGCCCTGGGATTCAGAACAGAGATCTAGAAGGGAATACATATTTGGGAGTTAACATAGAGATGGTAGCTGAAGTCATGCTTTGTGTGAGATTGTCCAGGAGCCAATCATAGAGTGGCCTGGGGACAGAGACGTAGGGAGGGTGGACACTGTGCAGAGTATGGAGAGAGCCCATGTCGGTGAGAAGCAGCCAGAGGGGTGGAGAGGAACTAAAACATGACCGTTTCAGGTTCAGCAGAATGACAGAGGGTTTCAGGAGGGCGTGGGCAGTGGCACCAGGCTCTCAGAGGAGCCTGATACGCCCACCACTACGGAGTCATAGGCTCTGCCTTACAACATGTCAGAATTTCTCACTCTTTTCCATGGTTGCTTGAGTCTAGATGACCTCAAGGGTGGTGTGGACTGCCTGCCTGAACCACTGTATGTTTTTTCTTCCTCTGCTTCATTGAGTTTAGCTAATGACAGATAAATTAGCCTGACGGCAGCTGTAGAATGGCCAGAATGATGTGGGGCACCCCAGCGCCCCTATCCCTGTGAGACTTTCACCTTGTCATTGTCGCCCCTGAACTGTGGGTGCTGACTTCTCCAAGAGTCTGAGACACTCTAGGGGAATACGGGCAACACAGGGGCTCTCTGAGTGCCCTGGGAGTTATGCCCAGGCCGAGGGCCCTTTCCGTATGGTGTGCCCACCCCCACCCCCCAGACAGGGTACATCATGCTCTGAATTGTCTTCAAACACCTTCCATGGCTGTTTGTCTCCTTAGGAGTCAGATAGCATTCAGCACTAACTTTATTTTGTTTTCAAAACTTGGGTAAATTTCTGTCCCCTTTCTTTCCCACTATACATTTCCCATTGAAGGGATGCCCAGTTGCTTAGTTTTCCAGTCACAAATGGAAACGAAATGAGTCAATCATACTCTCCTTTGTGCAGTTTTCCTAGGGGATGTGTGTCTGGAGAGGCCTCCGAGACTCCTGTCCTCACTGCTGGTCTCCTCCAGTGCCCCAGATGCAAACACTGAAGGCCCCCAAGCTGTGAACCTGGCTCCATGCCAGTCCCGATCCCTCCATCCCCCATAGCATGGTACTTGATGTCTGTTGGGCACTCCGAGGTGCCCAGTGGCCCGCCGATCTCTCTCTCATCCCTGCCTGTGACTAGTCAGTGCTCCTTCGCCACGCCAGGCCGGGGACTCTCATCAACCGGACCCATCCCCACCGTGCCTCACAGCCTTGCCCGCTCATGGCCTCCTCCTTTTTTGTTCTCAGGAGACCCACAAGAGGCACTGAACCCACATGGCTCTCCTACATGGAATCTAATGGTTTACCCATTCAACAAATATTTTCATGCCAGATACTGGGATCTAATGAGTCATAAACACAGTCCTTGCCCCCTCGGGACTTGCACCCTTGCATATACATATAACAGCGGGCTGCAGTATAGCAGACAATGTGTATGACCTCGCCCTGGAAGTCAGGAAAGGTTTCCTGAAGGATGTCTAAGTTGTATAGTGAAAAATAAGTGGTGGAAGGGAGTGAGGAGCAGAGAATGGTATGCAAAAAGCCCTGACCTGGTGCCTCGAGTGAGTGGGGTCTGTCGGGAGAGTCCAAGATCTCGGTCACTTGGTGTGACACAGACTGGGGGCAGGGAGCAGGGACAGACGGTGAAAGGCAGACCTGTCGGGAGAGGACTTCATCCGGTAGGCAGTGAGAGACTGTGAGAGAGTCGGCTGAAGAAAGGCAGTAGTTTGAGCAGAAAAGGCAGGGGCTGAGGGGGCTGCTTTCTGGGTGGTGAGAGGAAGCGAGATGCTGCATGGGAAGCACCTGTGGAAGTGCAGTTGGATGGTTCTGTGGCCCTGGGATTCAGAACAGAGATCTAGAAGGGAATACATATTTGGGAGTTAACATAGAGATGGTAGCTGAAGTCATGCTTTGTGTGAGATTGTCCAGGAGCCAATCATAGAGTGGCCTGGGGACAGAGACGTAGGGAGGGTGGACACTGTGCAGAGTATGGAGAGAGCCCATGTCGGTGAGAAGCAGCCAGAGGGGTGGAGAGGAACTAAAACATGACCGTTTCAGGTTCAGCAGAATGACAGAGGGTTTCAGGAGGGCGTGGGCAGTGGCACCAGGCTCTCAGAGGAGCCTGATACGCCCACCACTACGGAGTCATAGGCTCTGCCTTACAACATGTCAGAATTTCTCACTCTTTTCCATGGTTGCTTGAGTCTAGATGACCTCAAGGGTGGTGTGGACTGCCTGCCTGAACCACTGTATGTTTTTTCTTCCTCTGCTTCATTGAGTTTAGCTAATGACAGATAAATTAGCCTGACGGCAGCTGTAGAATGGCCAGAATGATGTGGGGCACCCCAGCGCCCCTATCCCTGTGAGACTTTCACCTTGTCATTGTCGCCCCTGAACTGTGGGTGCTGACTTCTC